AAGAAAACCAACTTGTATTTTTTTTTACTCGACTGTTTTTTAGAGGGATTTACTAAGATTATTTAAAACAGTTTCCTGCTTTTGGTGTTGCTGTTACTGTGAGATTTCAGTTGCAGCCATAGTAGTCGCTGTTACTGTTGCTACTGCCGTAGCAGCAGTTACATTTCTGATGAATGGAGCATACTATTATCAGTTTTTGTTTTTTTTGTAAATGCTTTTTTGGAAGGAGCGAAAATTTGACTGATTTTCTCTTTACTTAGGAAGTTAAAAGATTGTCAAAAAAAAAGGTGTTGTTGGTGAAACGATAAGAAGTAGGCGGAAAGGGAATTGATTTTTTTCTTTGGAGCGGCAAATGGTAATTGCATTTACTTAATTCGTCGATTATATAACGCCGAGTTTTTAAATAATATTTCCAGTTACTGCCTCTCCACTGAATAGTAGTTTTTAATTTTCTAGTAAACCATTTGCTTAAGTTGACCTTTATTCTTCTCTTTAATTTTTATATATTTCTTACATCAACTGCTAGTGCTTTTTTTTGGATCTTAAATCGTTGCTGGTAAAGCTGGAGTACCTTGTGTAGTAGTTGGTGTTAGTAACTAACTAAATAGCTAACAAATAGACCGACATGTACAAGAACGAATAGCTAGCTGCACAGCAGGCTAACTAACCAAATAGAATTGAGCTTTACTATTCATTGGACGCTGTGAGAAACCTTTGTGTTGTGAGCCGGATTGCTCTATAAGAGTTCTTCAAAGCATATTTGTGGCGTTTTTTTGAAGTTTTTTGCTTTGCGTGTCACTTAAAATTGATTTTGCTAGGAGATGTAGGTATAATTGTAATACTGGTAGTTACAGCATTAGTTGTGATAATGTAACTGTTGTTAATGTCGTCATTTTTAATCGTTTTAAAATAATATGCATTTTTTCATTATAGATGCTGGATTATTTAGTATTGTTTTATGACGTAATTTGCAAATCAGTTTTTTTTGGAAGCATTTTGAATTGGTAAGCCATTGCTGCTTCACTTATTGATTAAAGTGAGAAGAAAGGAAAGAAAGAAAGTTAAAAGGAAAGCAAGAAGAACAAACCGAGCTTATTGATCACAGAGAATTCGATATGGAGATTCATCGGAGCTGTTGGTATGGGGTAAATAAGAAAAACCTCCAAAGAACAGCAGTATCTCTGAAAATACTTGCAAGTATCAACAGAAAACCTGAAAAATATGGAAGAGTCATTGACGGGACGGCATATTGTCAAAACTTAAAGCGGGTAACTGATGTTACTACTGCTGCTACTGATGGTGCGGAAAGAGATTTCTCAGAGATTGCGGATGAGTTAGCCGAAGATGAAAGAAGAAAAGAAGAAATAGTAGAAGGAGAAGAAGGGGAAGAAGATGAAGATAGAGGAGCAAAAATACTGGAACAGACCTTCTTTACATCTGATAGTAGTAGCACCTATGAAGCTGGAAATGGGAAGAGGTGCAAATTTGAAAGGAAATTGAATTATAGAAGTTCAGGAGGGTGTTGCAGTAACGTAAATTGTGATGCAAATGATGAGAAGTTGGCATTGCCAAGTCCAGCGATGCTTAACCAAATGCTCTCTGAAATTAAGAGTAAGTTTTTTTCCATTTTTTTTTTTACTGCTGGACAGAGTTGTTTCTGCTGCCTATTTCTTTTCAGGTTTTTCTCTTATTTTTGATCTTTTACGTGTGAACTCTTTTCTCCAATTTGGGACATTTAATGAATTTTTTAAAGTACAGATGTAGATCGTTCCTGTGGATTTGTGAGGTTTTGTTGTTGTTGTCAATTTCGACGACTGCAATATCGTTATTTTTGGCGCAGATTACTGTGGTTGTCTTAAGTTAAGGGTTTAAAAGAGAGCGAAAGAAGGCATATTATGGGAGTTTTTAGCGCTGGATCTACTTTTAGAACATCCTTTACTTCTAGAGGAAGAGTTGTAGAAAAAAAAGACCACAAGGATCATTATCTCAACATCTCTTTACAATCAGTTTTCTAAACGTTATAAATACAGTAAAGTCTTTCATTACTCAGTTATATCTAAAACTCAAAAGTATAAATATATGCTTGCTATATAATTATGCTTGATGATGCTGATGATGATCAGATTTA